CAAAAGTTTCCAAGTCAGATCACTATATTTGGAACTTCTTGTGAGCGACCACCTCTCGTAAGCGACTGCGACCACTTTTAGAGCTAAAAGTTTGAAATTTAACCTCCCGTAAGCGACCACTTGACAGATAACAGAACGTAAATTGGGTAATAAGGTGTTGCAACCGTATCGCATTCCTGGCTAGTACAAGAGAAGGAAATTTCTCAATGGGAATGACAGGATTTTTTTTCTCGAAATTGACTTTCCATGAATAACACATTTAAAACATGGGGTAAGTCTCTGCAGTTACCATATGCTTATGAGGCAAACTTTTGACCCAATATGGTCTAAGTTCTCGTAAGCGACCACCTCCCGTATACGCTTACCGGAGGTTCGACTGTATTTTTTTCGCAAAAGTCACGATTCTAACTATCTTTTTGCTTGATCAAATGCTGATGACAAAACGTTAATTACAAGATAAAACGGCTATCAATGTTATCGAGTAGTGTTAAGCTTGATAAGAGAACAAAATGCCCTTGACCAACGAAATGAGCCAGTGCTAAATTCAATTGTCAGCCAGTGTCAGGCCATAAATTAAATCCCATCAGGCTTCTGCATTCCTTATTTACAATTAATGTTCAGCGCGCCATAGTTATTGACTATTTCGACACATTTCTTGAAAGATGTAAAATGGGGAACTAATTTAAATGCTACTTGCAGCAAAAGGCCTGACATAGATTGACAAAGGTGCGATTCTGTTCTCTGTCGATCAGTCACACCGCACTCGTTTTCGACAAACGTTTGCCATAGATAGAAGTCGCCCCAGTTGGCATGCGACGGCTTTCTTCCTCCGCTGATGTCCTACAGTTGTTGAGAAGTGATGGTATTTGTTGAAAGCCGTTCCGGTACTTCTTGTTGAAGATAAAACAAATACAAGGATTCACCGCGCTCCATAAATGTAGCATAAAGAGGCATATGAATGGAATCACATTGTGATATGCACAAATGGCTGGTACTTTCCAGTTCCACAGGAAAATTAGAGTGAATGTAAACACAAGCACTGGAATTGTACAAACACCGAAGGCAATAATTATGGCCACTGACAATCGGACAATTTTCTTGAGTTGTTGATCACGCTTTCTTTGGCCAGAAGACAACCGCTCTTTGGATTTTTTGTTCTTCGTTTTTAAGGTGCATGCAATGAAGCCATACATCATGGCTAACAAACAAACTGGAATAATGATAAAAGCGATGAAATTTGCCACGAAATACCTCTTCTCAGTGTGGGTTTCTAACGGGCCCCAGTCTGATTTACAATATGTCTTATTCTCGATGTGGAGCAGTCTGAAAGTGTAGAAATAAGGTGTGTGGACAGCAATGGCTACAAGCCACGCACACCCAATGCTGATTAACCGAGCTTTTGGCGAGATAAGTTTGGCCTTCAGTGGGAAAACAACAGCCACGAACCTGTCCATTGATACCAACAAAAGGCTTTCGATGGAAACAACAAGAGAAACATCAGGGAGAAAGTACGAAAGTTTGCACAAAATGTTTCCCAGTATCCATGGGCTGTCAACGTTCCAAGAACCAGAACCTGAAATGATCTGAGCAATTCTGATCGGCATGATGGTCAATGGGTTGAACAGGTCAGACACGGCCATGTTGAAAACAAAGTAGTTGATGGATTTTCGCAGCTGCTTGTTCTTGTGAATGACAAGGATAAGTAAGATATTTCCAACTAACGAAACAATGAGAATGATGAAGTAAGCCAGGGCTTTTATGACCGTTTCAACTGTGGAATCGCCCACAAGACACTCTTCGCGAGTATTGTTTTGAGCGTTTTTCTCGGCCGCTGAAATATTGTTGATCAACGACTCCAAAACAGACTCTTCGCTCGACATACTTCTATTTTATGCTACCGGATCAAAATCGGTAAATACTGTTCTCTTTAGTCGTTAAATATACTAAACCACCTTTCGTGTGAACATTGAATGTCTTTCAGAAGCAGACAGCTTCATAGTGGAAGAGAAGAAGACAGCTTCGTACTAATATCAGTCAAGAAGCCAAATAAACTGTCAACTTTAGTTTGTCTTGTGTTAGACTCGTGATCATCCATGGTTGTCCAACGATCAAGTTCAGCCAACACAGTTTTCTGTCAACAGTCAGTACAGTTTCTGTCGACAAACTACTGTCGCACTTTGTAAACAGACAAGTACGCTAAAGAAAGAAATAAGCTTTCGTTTTGCTACTCATTTTTCTTTACACAGAGAGTATTGAAAAGTATATTCCAGCTTCTTTCCAATGTCCCACAAGCGCTGGCTGTTCAACATAACGCAGATCATTTATCCAATAATAAAAAAAATAAACATACTGAAATCACTCTGACATCGTAGAAATTAAACGTCCCTCCAGCATAAATTATAATAAAGCATTCAAGGCAAGATCGGTATCATTGGAATAATTTTAAGAAGTTGCGTAATGAAGTGAACAATGAGATCAAGAATGTAAAAAAGTCCTATTA